AATACGTCCGGAGTCAAGTGGGACCCATGGTACGCGCTTTGGACGAACAGGAAGGCGTTCAAACACATCTGTCACCACATGGATATGCATCGATTGCTGCGTCTCAAAAGACCAATTTACTTTCATTGTATCTTTGAGGGCAAACTGGGGAGAAGTGGGTTGATGCATATGGTCAGGTGTTGAGGTGGAAGGAGCTGAGTGACGAGATCTCATCTTCCTTTTTCCCCCGCGAAAACTTCTAGCAGTTTTCTTTTTTATTAATTGAAGTGTTCTACATCGTGCAAGAATTTCACTACTAAGGAGATAGCTATCAGCTAGAAGGTTACGCAGCTGGCGCAGTCTAGTAGATGAATAATGGAGGCAGGACATCTCTTTCAAGTTAAAATCTACTCAAAACAAAGAAACACTTTAGTGGCTTGACTTGTCGCCGCACAGCGTTCCACATAGTGTCATTTATAAATTAATTATCAATCAATAAAAATTTGTTTGGGTGTGGCATGTTCAGGTAACGTTACAGGCAGTGTCCCCTTTTTTCCCAGTTTTTTCAACTATTCCTCTTGAAAAACGTTTTTGAAGCATCTTTTAACACCCAAATGACTCATTAGTCAGTGTAGATCCTTGCCTTGCCAGAAATTTATTTCGTTTATTGAGTGGTGATCTTGCGTTTTCAGCCATCCATTGAAGGACCAATCTGCCTCCATGTGACTTTATGTCTTGTTATTAGGTCCACAATGACGACGGCCCATTTTCATGTCTTTTGATCCTATTCTTACAGCCTCCAATGCCACCTGTGTGTCGGTAAAAGCTATGATTGACGAATATGGTTTTCTCCTAGCTAATTTGTGGCGCACTTGTTTCAGGGCCATACGTATACCTTTTACAATTTAGTAAATAGTGTTAGTATAATCACTATCTTCGGTACCGTTTGTTTTACATGCTGTTTTTATCAGCCAAATAATTAACACAGATCAATTTTTTTCCAAACCAAACCGACCATTAAAATATGTTAGATTCATTACACATACTGACATGTATGTTTCTGGATTCAATTTTACATTGCTTTTAGAAAAGGTACTTGTGATCATTCGGTGTGATTATGACGTATGAACATCTTAAAGAATGTGATGAAAGAAACCAATCACCCATGGATCGCGACACAGTTAACGCCCCTTCATTAAACTCATTGATCGCCCTTGTCATTACAAAATGTTTAACACCCCAATCAATATACATCAAGGACGCCCTGTCATAGCGTCTCATAAACAAACCCACAAAGTACACCCAAAGAACACCTCAGTCTTTCACACATGGTGAGCACCTACATCATTATGTTTATGAAAACATCTTTCATTATTTCAAATAAGCACCTCGAACGTTACGTCCTTATGAACAACTCTTTCATTATTTCCAATGAAATACGCCTTCATTACGTCGCATGAACAACTGCTTTTAGGATTATTAAAACTTTTAGTAAATGTTAATATATTAATTAATAATGTTCTCAACTCATTAAAAAAAAAACTTCATTAAAAAAACAAAAAAAAAATAAAAAAAAAAAAAAAAAAAAAAAAAATTAAATCCATGTTGTTTTACTTTATTTATTGCAAATGCATTTTTTTTTTAAAATCATTTATAATTTGTTGCAAAATTTTAATTCATAAAATTAAACGTTATTAATTATATTTAGTTTATCATTTTTTAAAATATTTATAATTTTTTTATATAAGAAACAATAAATATATTTTTAATATACAAAAGATTTGATTCTATACATTCAAAGTATCGATAACATAATTAAGAGATAATCATTTAATGTAACAGTTTAGACTTAACTCTGATAAAATTTCCAAATGGTCTTTTAAATCGTTAGAGGTCACTAATATATTAGGTACCCAGCAGTGAGGCGATTTCTAGACAACAATTGGGACATGTCATTAAACTCCAACACAGCGGTTCTCAACATATGGGTCGCGACCCCAATGGGGATCGAACGACTCTTACACTGGTGACGCCGAAGACCACCCAAAAAGCACATATTTATGAAATATCAACAAAAATAATTTTATGTTTGGGGTCACCACAACATGAGACACCGTATTAAAGGGATGTGGCATTAGGAAGTTTGAAAATCACTGCTCTGACACATTGTGAATAGCCAACCGTCACACATGCAATATGTCTTATAGTGGCATACGTTAGAGCATATAGCACATTTACAATCCTGTCTAGTGTAGTCACCTACAAGGGAGTCACTCTTTATTTCACTACCATTACCATAGACGTGCCTGAACGTAACAAAGTGTATTCTGGTATAGTGTGCAGCATATGTTGCTATTTGCCAAAAATGCAAAGCTATATCTTAAACATGAGCATATCACAAATTTAAATGATGCTGTAGACCAGGGTTGGCTAATCCCCGGCCTGCGTGCTCAATGTGGCTTGGAGCATTAAATTATTGGGTAGACGTGTACAGCACACATTATATGGAACAAATGTACTTCTTTCTTCATTCAAAATCTTTAAAAAATTAAATTTTTAATTTACGTGGAAAAAAAACAATAAGCAGATATAACATTACCGGTATCTTAATCTTACATTAGGCTCATCTCACTTTGATCCTATTTTATTTGCTGATTGGATTAAATGACTAACAGCTTGTGCAGAACTACCTCGTTATTTATTTAGGAATTTTTATAGCGCTTACCTTACAGCTCTAAGCGCTTTACAATTATTAAAAATATGTAAACTATTTAAACTTCTAAAGTAAAATAAAAAGGAAAAAACCCGAGACACTAGAATAGTAACTACAATAAAAATGACTATAGAAACAGTAGCTAAAACATTAAAATGGCTATAAAAACGAGTACACTACAGGATCAACCCGAGACAGAAAATGAGGCAGGGCAAGGAGGGTGCATCACAGGTCATAGGCGGACCTAAACAAATGGGTTTTAAGGGACTTTTTGAATGTGGACGAGAGTTCACAATGACGGATGTGGAAGGGGAGCTGGTTCCAGAACGTTGGCGCATGGAAGTAGAAGGAGCGTTCACCGATGGCAGAAAGCCTTCGTCAGCGAACAAAACGACAGAAAAAAGGTATAAAAATAAAAATAAGAAATATCACTAAACTGGTAAGTAGTATCAGTGGGCAGCAATAGAAGTGTGGCAGAAGTAAAGTGAGTGAGAGTTTAAATATGCAACGGCGTTTTTTCTGTTGTTTTGTTCGCTGACGAAGGCTTTCTGTCGACACGTTCGCTGTTTTGTTGCGTTTATTTTTTCAGGTTTAACCCTACTCTGGTTTACTCATTTTATTTTGTAAGGAAGCAAAAGTTCAGAGAGATAGATAGGAAAGTGAGGGTCAGTGAACGAGTTGAAGCATAGATTGGCACCAATCTTTAAAACAATGTGTTATCCACATAGTCCGTCAAGCTGTTAGGGATGGCGACCCTTTCTATAGGCATACTGGTTGTAGGAACTAGTGACAATTATCATAAATTATAAAAAAAATAAATAAACTTATTTAAATTATTCAAAGTTATTTCTTCTTTTAAGTCTATGGTTTTGTCATTGAGCAGTGTACCAATCTTTAAAACAATGTGTTTACTTTTTAAACTTTGATCCCACTCACTGCAATTTCTTTTCCACCGAGGCTGTGCAGTTCAAGAACCCATACCTTCTTTTGGTTCAACCTGTAGATAGGCGCCCCACTACTACCTTTGCATGAAGCCAGTTTATATGTGTTTGTATTGGGGTCAGCGCACGAGCCTATAGACACTTTCTTCGTCTGACCATGTGGATGAGACACCATGAGAACTAAATCATTTTGAGGCACATGTCTATATTTCTCGTAAAGTTCTTCATGGATGAATATGAAATCATAAATATAATTCCTTAGCTGCTTGACAAGAGTCATGTTATCAGTTTTGCAAATAAACACACAATTGTCTTCAATAGTACTTGCATACTTAACATTAGAACATTTCAATTCAATGACATCCGAATCTTCATTGTCAAAATTTAAGATACAAGTTGTGTGTTCAGCTTCACTCTGATCAAAAACAACATGCCTGCTAGTAGCTATTTTAATCTCACCCCATTCGTGACCCGATTCCCATTTCCTTTCAGAGAAGATTATTTTTCCTGTCCCGCGACAAGGTCCTTTGGGAAATTCGGTATTGGTCCCTGTGAATACCTTTGGCCTTTTGGGACTTGAATGTCTTACTACAATTTTGACGACAAGTTTTCTAAGGGCACCAACAACAGACTCAATGTCCTCGCTGTCATAAGTTTCCGGCAGTGTAGGAAAGCTAAGCTCGTCAATGGGGACATATTCATCGTGGTTTTTCTTGTCACAGGGATATTCACGAAAACTGGATGCCTCAGCTTCATAGCAGTCGGACCAATCGTCGGCAAGTTCTGAAATTAAAGAGGAGGTTGTCGTGACCATAAAATCTGGTTATACATGTCCAAATAAATTCTGGCCATGTCTTCAATACACGGGCGTAAGAAAATTTTGGAGTGGGGCGCACATTTGAGAGGGTGGTATTTTTTTGCTAAACTGCATACACAGAATACATCTAATGTATAATAAGTACTTTATATCTTTTATGGTTTTCTTGATTGAAGGGCGACCAAATAAAGGACGAAAATTAGCTACTCAACAATTGCTACGAAAACCCCTTTTTGCACAAGCTGAGAATACTGACATGAATAGGTAAGCTTGCTTGCTATCTATCTATTTCTAAAAAAAATATTTTATCGTTAAATAAATATCGATAGTTGACATATATTTAACATTATTTTTGTAATTAAGTCAAGTATTAGTAATTCTATTAAAACTAGAACTCATTTATCTGCTGTTAAAGATGCAGTTTTAAGATAACATCTTAACAAACGAACCCGTTTTTAAAATGTCTAAATCCAGTTGATATGAACCTCCCATATTTTCTTGATCAACGTCCGGCTCAACCTTGTGGAAATAATGAGAGAAATGTTGAACATATCAACTATCAACGATAACATAAGGAAAAAGTATCACACGTTAACACGTTTCTTGTTTTCTTAACATTTCCCCCCAGTTTATTTAAATTATATTCTTATTTTATTTTGCGACTAAAATTAATATGCATTATGAGTCTTGTACAGGTAACACAGTACTATTCTGACATGGCGTGGGATGTTATCTCTTATGCTGTTATGTCAGTAGTAGTATGGTTACTTATGTTAATACTTCAGGATGCCGACTTCATTCTTTCACTTATCGTTCAGGCACGTAAAGAAGAATACTCAATTCTAGTTAAAACTCACAGTACTTTATTGAACACACTTTATATTGATAATAATAAATAATCCTTGCATGAATGTAATTTCACATATATATCTATAGTATTCCATCATTAAGAAAGACACGTCCTCAGACTACTATAACTCAGCTCAACTGTCTAATCTCACAGCTCTCACGCTACTGACTGACTCTACTGCTCTGCGCTCAGCTCTCTACTATCTCAGTCAACTCATACTTTATTACCAGCAAAGCGTGCAAAACAACCGCTCTGACAAAAACATAATTTTACTCTCCAAAAACGTGGAGTTCACATTTGTTCTCAAAAATACAATCCACATTGATTGTCTCTCCCCGTGGAAAAACCTGGTGAACACACTCACTGTCCACTCATGCTACCTCTCTGTTTACATGTGAAAACATAGTCCGTTACATGCCCCACCCATCTGAAAAAATTTTGTGCAACAAAATTTTTGGCACAAAATAATATGCTGAAATAATGATAATGTCTCTTAGAAATTTTCAATCCCACATCTAACAATCAAATCAGTGTAACAACATTAACATTTCATCATTATGAAATACAGAGTCTTTTACTGTTAATATCACACTTAATAGTGAATAATTTACCCTGGCAAAAAATTAAAAAATCACCAATGACAACCTCTTAAAATCTTTATGTATGATAATGTGAAGTGACATTAACATCTTAATGAATAATAAACACTGCAAAATGAATGTAACAATCTTAAATTTTGCATTAGAAAATTTACAATCGGTTAAAATCTGATATTCATTTACAAAAATTGATATGTACAAGTGTCTTATCAAAAAACTGAGTGAACGTATGTGTGTATATTCATTTAGAATGTCTGACTAATGTGTCTTAAGTCAGTGTCTTTGTCATTGTCTGCATGTTCAATGTGTCTGGAAAGGAAATCAGCTACTGTATTGTCTTTTCCTTTTATTGTCCTTATCTCATACTGATAATCTAATAGTATCAACGACCATCTGTTTATTTTACTATTCGCTATTTTCTTTCTATTTAGTGCCATTAATGGCTTGTGATCAGTCAATAATGTAAATTTTCTGCCTAATAGATATTTCTGTAGTTTGGTAAGTGCCCACACAATTGCTAAGCATTCTTTTTCAATGGTTGAGTAGTTAATTTCAGTTCTGCTTAATGCTCTACTTAAATAGGTAATTGGTCTTAATTTATGATTGTATTCTTGCATAAGGCAAGCTCCTAATCCAATGTTGGAGGCGTCTGTAACTAGAGTGAAAGACTGTTTAAAATTGGGTGATAACAATATGTTGTCACTTTGGAAAATTTCTTTGATTGTTCTCAGTGTATTTTCGCATTCATCCGTCCATACTATTTGTTTCTTGCTATCTTTATTTATTAGTTTCCTTAAGGGTAGTGTAACATCAGAAAATTTTGGAACAAAAGTGCTGTAAAAATTGCACAAACCTAAAATGGCTTTTACTTCTTTCTGAGTGTGTGGTGTTTTTATATTTAGTATTTTTCCTCTGTTGTGTTCTGTGGGCTGAATTGTGTTTTTACCGACTTTAAATCCTAAAAATTCAATGTCCTCTTGTGCAAACTTTAATTTGTTTGGTGCTATTGTAACTCCATGTGCTCTTAATTTGTTTAGTACTGTTTTTATAGTCTCTATATGTGTCTTCATATCCTTAGTGTGAATGCAGATATCATCGACAAAATGTACTACATTTGGTATGCCTTCTAACATGATTCGCATGAATCGAGAAAATGTTGCGGTGGAATTAACTAGACCAAATGGCATTACTGTCCATTCGAACAAGCCTTCCTCTGTGGCAAATGCAGTCAAAGGCATGGAATCCGGATGCATGCCTATTTGCCAGAATCCTCTGTTTAAATCTAAGTGGGTGAATAATGTGGAGGAGCCTATTTCTTCCAGTAGTTCTCTGGTGTCCCTCATGGGTTCTGCATCTAATTGTGTGATTTTATTTAACTCCCTATAGTCACAACATATACGGCACTGGCCATTTTTCTTTTTTACTACTACCATGGGTGATGCTATTGGTGAATCTGATCTTTTAATCTTGTTAGTCTGTATTAAATGATTTAGTTCTTTCTTTACTTCTTCCCTAAATGCATATGGAATTGGATAGATTTTGTGTTTGAATGTGGGTTCCTGTGTTAATATTATCTTGTGTTCTAAACTGCTAGTGTGTCCTATGTTCTCTGTGATGACATCTTTGTATTCTTTTAGAATTGTTGTTAAGTGTCTGTTTGTTGTGGTGTTATTTTCATTGTCTTCTAATTGTATAACACTAGCAACGGTGGCTGTGCTACTTATTTCATTACTGATGGTTTCTAACTCTTCAGGAACAGAGTCATATTTTCTGAGCAAGTCCACATGTAGGACTTTCAATTCACCCTTCATGTGAATTACATAATCAACTAAATTTAACTTGTCATGAATTGTAAACGGACCCTGCCAAATCTTTTGTCCATTATTGTTTGGCAACCATACCAAAACTTTATCATGTACTTTAAGATCTCTGAGGTATCTATGTGTATTCTTTATATGTCTTTGTCTTTTAGACTCCCTATCAGTGTTTTCTTTAGCATTTTCTATGCCATATGTAATCCTCTCTCTAATTTTTGTAATTATGTCAAATGTGTCTTGTTGTGTGCCTTTCTGGCCTAAAATATTTTCTTTAAAAAGAGTTAACGGTCCCTTTGGATTGGCCCCAAACATTAGCTCAAATGGAGAGTACCCAGTGGTGTCTTGTATACTCTCTCTATAGGCGAATAAAACCATGGGTATATATAGGTGCCATTCTCTAGGGTGGTCTATTGTTGTTTTATTTAACATTGTTTTTAGTGTTTTGTTCCATCGTTCTACCATACCATTAGCCTGTGGTCTATATATTGTGGAATGTACTTGTATTATACCTAGCATTTTTGTAACTGCATTGGTTAAGTTGGAAGTAAACTGTGTTCCATTATCTGACAATATTTTATCAGGGAACCCATGTCTTGTAAATACATCTAATAATGCCATGCAAATTGTTTCTGAATTAATGTTTTTGAGGGGAATTGCCTCTGGCCATCTAGATGCCATATCAATCATGGTTAAAATAAATTTGTGTCCCTTATTTGATGGTGGATTAAGAGGACCAATGATATCTATAGCTACCTTCTCAAAGTTTCTACCTATTTTGTCTGTGGGTTGTATGGGTGCTCTGTGTTTACTGTGTATTGGGTTTTTTGTCAGACATGGTATGCATTTGTTTATGTGTTTCTTTATGTCCTTGTGTATGCCTGGCCAATAAAAATTCTGTGTGACCCTTTCTAATGTTTTTTTTATACCCATGTGTCCAGCCAAAGGACTGTCATGTGCATGGTTGAGTATTTTGTTTCTGAGTATTAATGGTACTATTATTTGAGATTTTTTGATTTCACCTTTCTCAAAATTTCTGATTAGAATATTATGTTTTATTGTGTAATTATGTCCTCTATAAATTGTGTTATTGTCCTTAATTTTGTTTCTAATGTCCTGAATTTGCCTATCTTCTGTCTGCATTCTAATTATGTCTTCTCTAGATATTTGTTTTGGAATGTCTAATTTTTCTTCTATTTCGGGCTGTGTCTGACTAGTTTTATGTTGTTGTCTTGTTATTGCACTTATATATTCTTTGGTTAAATTTTTTGATTCAATCCAATTTAAGAATAGTTCTTGGGAATTATCTGGAATTTCTTTAATATTTCCAATTATTAACTGACATACTGGGTTGTCCATAAGTACTGCCGTTACCTTTCCTGTCAACCATGGACAGTCTATGTCCACTACTGCTTTATAACATTCAACTTTTGTGTTATTTGCTAACATGACTGTGGTTTTTTCAGATATATGGTCTTTAGGGTCAATCAATTTTTTGTCAACTACTATTGTTGTACAACCTGTGTCTCTTAGACACTGAACAAGTTGGTTGTTTACATAAGAAGGAAAAAATTGTAAACTTCCTTCACTGTGACATGCGCTAGCTAAAGTTTCATGTGGTTTGGTGTTTTGTCTACTGTTAGTCTGATTGGAATTATATCTTTGATTTTTATATGGTTGTCTACTCCTATTTGCACTGTTGTATCTAATTGGACTACTGTTGGGTGATGTTCTCTGATAGTATTGTTGTGAATGTCCTAAATCTCTATGTAATTTCCTACACTCATATTTTTTGTGACCTGGAATGCCACAGTAGAAACATTTGTTGTTGTTTGAATAATTAGTATATGGTGTTTGGTAATTGTTTTGATGACTTTTCTGAAATTTATTGTTTTGCCATCTGGCAGGTAGGCTATGGTATCTTCTGTTTTGATATGTGTTTTGTTTTTGACTGTCCCTATCACTGGGTGTGTTTCTAATAGAGGCTAGTGTGCTGTTTCTATTGTCTAGCTCTTCATTGGGGTGAGCATCTTTAAATGTTGTGATTGAGTCAACTAACTCACGCTCATTTTTAATCTTTCTCTCTTTAAGGAATGAAAATAAAGAGACTGATGCATTTCTTAATATTTTGTCTATGATAAACATATCCAGTAATGCTTTTGGATCATTTAGGTCAATTTCAGTTAATTCAAGCCATTTGACAAGATTGTCTCTAATATTGAATATGGTGGTGTTAGGATCTACTTCTCTCTCTAGTCTTATGTTGTGGAAATTTTTTCTATAAATGTCTTCTGTGTTTCCATAGAACTTTAACAAAACTTTCTTTATATATGTATAATTATTCTTTTGTTCTTCACTAAGTGAATTGATAATGCTTAGGCTTTTCCCTGATAATCTGCTCAATAAAATATTAGCCCAAGTCTCTTCTCTATAATTGTAAGACTGACATATGCCTTCAAATTGTGACAGATAACTAATAATTTCTTCTTTATGTTCATTAAATTCTCTAAATTTGGGTTTATATGTGCTATTGGTTTCTCTATTGCTTGTTGATGGTGTATGCTGTCCTGATTCTATTCTAGCTCTTTCTAGTTTTATTTCTTCCTCTCTTAATTTCATATCCTGTTCTTTTAATTTCATATCCTGTTCTCTTAATTTAAGTTCTTCTATTTCTTTTTGTCCTTTTAATTTCATTTCTTCTATTTGTTTAAGATCGTTTCTCTCTAACATTCTAGCTTCTCGGTCTTTGTCTTTGTCTTGTCGGTCTTTGTCTTCTTTCTGTCTGTCTCGTATTTTGTCCATTTCTCGAGTTACGAAGTCAGTTAATTTCTCCTGCTTCAAACCAAGCTTCTCACCTACTTCTAATAATTCCAAGTACTCTGCCATTTTTTATGTGTAATGTGAGTAACTAAAATTATATTGTTATGTATCAGTATATCAGTTATCTCCTTATTCTTTGGTTATCAATTAAAATAGTTTACGATATTTCATATATCTACATGTTAATGAATGTATACACAAATGCAAGTTGATACATGAATTATAAGTTATAAATAAGTGTAAGAAAAATTTAAAATAATTAAATTGTCTACTTCACAACATAAATACAGATATGTAGACGTTTACATGTATACAAATGAGACAACAAATACAAAAGTACTGTGTAGTTTATGGACCACAAGATAGTAGAAAATATGACAGTAGGTTGACAATATGTATAACAATGACAAGACAAATAGCACAAATATGACACGATCTACTAAAAAACAACAGTTATGACAATGTACAAACTAGACTTCACAGCTAACACAAAATTATCCTACAGTGTTATAAATAGGGCCAGAAGAAACCTTTACCGTTTTAATAAAAAAACTTCCCTAGGAAAGATAACACCGTGGATGTCCCTACAGTATACTCTAAAATTAAACTTATATTACACAGAAAAAGTAAAAAATTTACTTAATCTAATTAAGTATGATATAAGTATATTTTTAAAGTCTTAAATTATATATATAATACATAACATAATATACATAAATACCAAGTGAAAGTGTCCAAAAGAAATCTGTAGTTGGTCACCTCTGCTCCTCTGTGACGCTATGATTTCTGTGTAATCGATAATCCTATGTAGTAGATGCTCCTTCTAGGTAGTAGATAATCCTATGTGGTAGTGTACTTGGGTAAAATAATCCAATGAGAAAAGTTACACCACAAATTGCTGCAATACTCCAATGTAAGTACCTTGCGTAATAGTGTAATTGTGATAATCCAATAATTGAAAATTGTCTAATTTCTCTCCGGTTCTGTTGCACTTGTGAGTAATTGAAGAATTACTTGAAGAATTACTTGACTTGAACTGTGCGGCTTGTATAAAGTAAAGATTATGCTGGGGAAATCTTACTTCCGCTGTCTTGATAAAACATCTCATCTGTAATGACATCAGACTTCTTTTGGTTTTGTGTGGATCATCTCTTTCGTTGACTAATAACTGTAAAATAGATTTCTTGCTGTTTCTTCCACGAGAATATTCACTCCACTGTTATATAATTGAAACAGTGTACCAGTTAGCTGTTTGAACTCTCAACTTTTGACTCCCGTGACTGACCTAAATTCAATCGTTGTCAGCTTGCTCTGTGTGTCGTGGACTCTTCTCAGACTTGACAAATACTCGGGCGTAATGACGTTCGATTCGAATGTTAAAATATATCATTGTTACTCAATGTTCTGTAATACATCGTTGTTCTGACACTTCTGACAATATTTGTAACGCATCGTCGTTACACCGCTTCTGACACCATTTGTAACACACTTCTACTCTGACATGGCGTGGGATGTTATTTCTTATGCTGTGGGTTATGTCAGTAGTATGGTTACTTATATTAACGCTTCAGGATGCCGACTCAGTCTTCTTCATTCTTTCACTTATTATTCAGGCACGTAAAGAAGAATACTCAATTCTAGTTAAAACTCACAGTACTTTATTGAACACACTTTATATTGATAATATTAATAAATAATCCTTGCATGAATGTAATTTCACATATATATCTATAGTATTCCATCATTAAGAAAGACACGTCCTCAGACTACTATAACTCAGCTCAACTGTCTAATCTCACAGCTCTCACGCTACTGACTGACTCTACTGCTCTGCGCTCAGCTCCCTACTATCTCAGTCAACTCATACTTTATTACCAGCAAAGCGTGCAAAACAACCGCTCTGACAAAAACATAATTTTACTCTCCAAAAACGTGGAGTTCACATTTGTTCTCAAAAATACAATCCACATTGATTGTCTCTCCCCGTGGAAAAACCTGGTGAACACACTCACTGTCCACTCATGCTACCTCTCTGTTTACATGTGAAAACATAGTCCGTTACAGTAATTATCTTAGCTTTTTAGAATATAAAAATTGGGAAATCTGATACGGCATATCCGAACTTAAACCATGGATGATGACTTAGTTATAATAGAACTACTGCAATAGGACTGCTGCAATAGGATTAACGCTATAGGACTACTGTAATATGAATACTGCAATATGACTACTGCGTGTTACAACAAAAACGGAAAGCACAACTCATTTCATGAGATTCTTATTATCAGGTTAGGGTCAGGGTGCCCGCTGAAAAAAAATGAAAATTTAACTTAACATTGTTTAACTTTAAGTTTAAGGAAATTTTCCTTTAATGTTGAAACACACCTTTAATCAATGTTATTGTTTTTGAATACATTTGGTCAATGTGTATTTGTTACATATTTATTATAACGCGTGTCTGATATCCCATCGGTGTGATGCGTATGATTAATGTAAACTAAAATATTATTTAAAACAAACACATGAGAATTAAACATGGTTATGTTCAGTAAAAAACTAATTTTACTAAACATGAGCTTAAAAATGATTTAGAATACTGTTAATTTAATTCAAAGGCTTACACAGTAAGTGTTACTCAAATAGATTTTACCTTTTGATTGTCACTAAATCTTGCTCTCTGCTTTTTCCCCATGCCTCCAGGCCGCTCTTGTCTTGATGGACTTGCTAGACATAGATAATATTTCAAAAACTAAATTATATGATCTATATCTTTTCGAGATATTTCTTGCTAGATTTTGCTAATGTCTGTTTTTATTGTCTTAAAATGATATATTTGTTTCTGTCGCTGTTGATCTATAGTCTAGCCTAGTTGGCTAGAGGCTATTGCAAAGTATCGTTTATCTACCTGGTGATTGAGTTTAGGAGACTTTGAGCGCAAAGGAAGCTAATAATCTATCATCGAATTCGGAGTACCCCAGGGCTTGGTCCTAGGCCCAGTGCTTTTCACTATGTACCTTCAGCCCCTGGGTGCAGTGATAAAGCCGTTTGATATGCTATATCACATGATACTCAACTTCAGATATCTGTGCACCGCTCTCAGTTCCCTTAACTTCTTAGTATGACAAAGAAGACAGTGGAGTCAGCTAAGCACTGGATGACCATAAACAAGCTTAAATGGAACGATGAAAAGACCGAGCTGATCCCCATTGCTACCGCTCAAAAGCTAAAATATATAATTAACACACAAACCCTTACTCTCTCAGGTATACAGATAGAGTTTACTCAAACAGTGCGAAACCTGGGTGTCTACTTAGACAGAACACTAACTATGGAAAATTACATTAACTTGCTTTGCAAGGCGATTTTTCTAGAGCTGCGCAGAATTAGTCATATCAGACCTTTATTAACATTAGACGCATCGAAGACGCTGATGTCTGCATTCGTGCTATCACGTATGGACCAATGCAGTGCTCTTATGGTGGGTCTTCCAGCTACGCTCCTGGATAAAGTTAAAAAAGCACAGAATAATGTGGCTCGCATTGTTCTTCAAAAACGCAAATTCGATCATGCTAAAACACTTGTGAGAGAGTTGCATTGGCTACCGGTCCATGCTCGCATAGAGTACATAATTGCAACTCTGTGCTACCGCTGCTTACATGACCTGGCGCCGTCCTATTTCAAAGCGCTACTTACGCCTTATATGACCACTAGACAACTAGGCTCATCTGATAGTGGCAAACTCTCGATACCACGTGTACGTCTTGAGACTTACGAGGGCGCACTTTCGCATTTGCTGGCCCAAAACTTTGGAACACACTGCCTATCGCTATCAGAAAAAGTCAGACACTGGAGTCTTTCAAAACTGATTTGAAGACTTATCTTTTTCGCAAACACTTGCTGGGTTGTTATTGTATATCTAGCTATTATCTTTTAGATGTATATTAGCCTGTGTTGTTTATGGTTGCAAGGTATGATGTTGAATTTTGTACTTCAATGACTTCATGGACATGGGGCCTGGGAGACCTTAGGAAGTTTATACTATTTGTTCTTCCTCTCTACTCTGGGGGCTTGTACGATTGAGGCAAATAACCCAGGTCTGCATGACCTTCTTCACACACATGTGTAGATTTTGCGGAACAGGTTATCGCGGGGAACTATTCTTGTTGAGGTTGCTCAGGGACATCCTCACTACGACACACATGGCTTCTGGGGGAGGCCCTATCTGGCGTAAGTGACCAGCAATAGGCCAGCAGGAGTGAAAAGGTGACTAACCGTGATCGATGTGGTGCTAGAGATCACCATCCCCAAACACCGGTGGTCCCAACACTGAATATGTGTGTCATAATACAAATGGTGCACGAAATAAGTGCTCTACCAACGTGAAGTTGATGTAGCCGTTTTCCAAGAAACGCTGCTGAACGGTTCCTGGGAATCCGTTTTACATCGGTTAACGCAAAATAAGAATACGGTCCCGATAAAATACTAGTTGTTTTTATCGATTTTTTTTTTGGTTTTTGCACACAATTAATATCACTCAACACGAAAAGATTTCGCTTCCCGGAATGAACAAAATACATCCACCTGCCGGCGAGAATGTAGAGGGGTCTGAAAAAATAAACGAGGCGTTGTCTCGTGTGAAAGAAGGCTAATTTGAAAGGAATAATGCAATTGATGATATAGAAAAATGTGTTGTCAATTTGATGGTAAAATACAAAGCAACAAACAAAAAAATGATTATATTTAAAAAATAAAAATGAATAACTTTTCTCTGTGTTTATAAATTTTGAAATATAAAATATTTTTTTTCATATTTTTGTTCGTTTTATTGTTGGTTTTTTTCTCCAATTAAATGCAGACATACATACATATGTATGTGCAAAATATATGAAATGTAAATAGTGCATCTAATTAGATGTACTGTAATAAATGTAATTAGGTGAGTATATTTATTTTATGCATCGTTTAACATGCAAATCTTTTAACACTAAGAAATATTTCAGTGCCCACTGTTTCGTTTTAAAAGATTTTCACTGTAACTTGTTCACTATACCACTGCAAAAGCATCCGATATCGAGGCCCTGTCACAACGGTTCGAATCGATCTTACTGTTGAGATCTGAGATGATAGAAGTGAAGAACTTCAGAGCAAGACCGATACTCTTAACGGAAGAATGCTAAACAAAGACGTTACGTTTACGATGATCAACGTCTACAAAAAGCCCCGAAACCCAATCCTCTTACCATTAGGAGAAAACATGGTTTTGGGCTGAACAATAATGGCAGGAGACTTAAATACCCAGTCACCGGACTGGGGCTGTTGGAAAGGAATGCGTTGGGGCGATACACTGAGGATGTCTGCCTCGCTGCAAATCTCATCAGGTTGCAGAACGTGGTGAGCGCCCCCACACTGCTGCACACGTGAAATAGAACCGAGTGCAACACCAGATCTGATGCTAATCTAATCTGTCCAAGCACAGACTGGCGGTTCTTGGCCTGTCTGGAAGTGATCAACTCCCAACACTGTTAGAGATAGACCTGACCACGATCAAATCATGCTTCGGAGAGTGACACTGTAAAATCAGTAGAGCCAAATGGCAGAGGTACTAGATCTAAACTGAGGCCAAGATCACTTTGCTGTATGTCGAATCCGGTTATCGTTGGGTGGCACGACTGTAACGGACTATGTTTTCACATGAAAACAGAGAGGTAGCATGAGTGAACAGTGAATTGTGTTGACCATGTATTTTGAGAGGACAATGTGAGCTCCACGTTTTTGGAGAGTAAAATTATGTTTTTGTCAGAGCGGTTGTTTTCCACGCTTTGCTGGTAATAAAGTATGAGTTGACTGAGATAAGGAGAGCTGAGCGCAAGGAGAGTCAGAGTTAGTCGGAGTTGAGTTAGAGTTGAGATGTAAGACAGTTGAGCTGAGTTATAGTAGTGTGAGGACGTGTCTTTCTTAATGATGGAATACTATAGATATATATGTGAAATTACATTCATGCAAGGATTATTTATTAATATTATCAATATAAAGTGTGTTCAATAAAGTACTGTAAGTTTAACCAGGATTCAGTATTCTTATTTGCGTGCCCGGATAATAAGTGGAAGAATGAAGAAGTCTTAGTCGGCATCCTGAAATATCAACATAACATAAGTAACCATACTACTGACATAACCCACAGCATAAGAAATAAGATCCCACGCCATGTCAGAGTAGCTGTGTTACAACGACATTTGAGATTAAAGGAAGAAAATCTCAAGAAAGAATGTATAATTGTCAATTTTTCTTGTTTTTGTCAAATATTTGTGCTTGTCTAGGGTCTTATGATTCTGTCGACTTTTGAGATGGTGTATAATCCTTGTCACCTAACGGACTAGTTTGATTCAACCAACTCTCAAAGCTTCATGTTATATAAGGCGTCTATTTCTGACAGCATTGCAACATCACTCGGGTTCACAGTTAAGTTGCGACATGAATCCATATGTAGCACAATATTCTTCTCAACAAAACAAAGCAAAGCGAATCTCTATAAAAACAGACACGTCTCGCTGTCGCTCGCCCTATCTCACACACTAACTCAAAGATCCTAGTTCATTATACGTCTGTGAACATAATACTGACCACTCAAAAAGTTGCCTCCCCTTTTATCATCCCAAAATCTTATGCCTCGTTCATTCTAAATAGCATTCGTCCGTGACATGAAAAGCATTCACCCTGGCCTACTAGCCCGATTTGTCACCAATTCAAAACACACACATTGATGATGACCTCATGACCTTGACAATGCCTTATATGCACGATATTCTAAAAGTGCATGTGAAAAGAAGACTGAAAGTTCGGAAGAAAGCCCCCGAAGGGAAGATGACGGCTGCTCATAACAGCGTACAGCAATAAAACAGCCCAAGTCCGCGCGTGCAGCGTACAGCAATTTAACAGCCCAAGTCTGTTAAACGTTCTTAAAGGTAAGAAGTAAAAGTGACCGTGTGGGTGGGCCTGTGTGAGTCAAAGCCTGGCTCAGAAGCACTGGCTCAGAAGCACTGGCTCAGAAGCACTGGCTCAGAAGCACTGGCTCAGAAGCACTGGCTCAGAAGCACTGGCTCAGAAGCACTGGCTCAGAAGCACTGGCTCAGAAGCACTTTCACGATGAGTTGCTCAACTCCTGGCTCGTAGGAGACACGGGACGAAAGTTCTACAGGAACCTGCTGCTAAGGTGAGTAAGAACGATCCCTGTTGGAAACTGGTGCAAGCTGAAAAAAAAACGTCAACAAACAGCTACGAACTGAGAACTGCCAGGCAATAACCCGCCTACATGGATGCGTCCCCCGTACGGAGCTAACCGTGGACTCATATCGTGGCCACTGAAACAACGGAACGTGAAATCGAAGGGTGCCCGAATGACGATTTGGGGGGAACGGGGGTGGGGGTAACCTTTGAAAGGTTTAACCAAAGAAATGTTTAATCAATGGCGATTACCGTTTGACGAGGCTTTCCTTTGAATAGCTACCAAAGGTTTAAGAGTATACCCTCGACTTTACAAAGGAAATGAATCATTTTTAGTTTGATTGATTGGATATTTATATAACCCCAAAAAAAAGTTTTAAAATGTTTCTTAAATAATTGTTCATAATTTTCAATTCCCCTTAAAGTTTGAGGCAAACTGTTCCATAATTTTGTGCTGTCGCTTCAAAAGAGCGCACTCTATAAGACATTCTTTTTTCTTTGTTCATCCACACTGGGATTTTTCAAAAAGGACTGTGTTGAAGGCCGCTTTGAGGATGCATGTTTATAAATCAGCTCTTTAAGATATTCCGGTGCCAAGCCTTCTATGCAGCTGTACTCACAGGAACCAATTGGAGATCTCTAAGTTAGCTAGAGGCTAGTTCTAGCCTTCTTGAGAAACCTTAATGAGACATCTTCGCCGAGCTTACCACGTCTGTTTGTTACGATAACACGTTATCTTTAGATCATACGAAATAGGCTGGCAGAATCTGATGTATATATAGCGAGCGAGCAGGGCCGGCGCTAGGGGATGGCGAAGTGGGCGACTGCCCAAGGCCACGCAAACGTTTGCGGGGCCTCGTACATTGCCGTAGTATATTTATAATATACCTAAGCCTACTAATAGTTCCTAATCCAGTCAACACAACTATCATTTATGATGCGTCCCATCATGACCAGCAAGGCCCCTATAGGACTATAAAATGTCTTAATATCCTATCTGCGGAATATATAACGTCAACGACCCCGCAAAATTCAATTAGCCCCAGGCGCAACACCCTCCTAGCGCCGGCCTTGGAGCGAGAGCGAGAAGAGCGAGAGAGAGGGAAGATAGAGGAGAGAGAAAATAGAGAACAGACAGAGAGGAAAATCAGAGAGAAAATATAGAGATCAGAGCGAGTAAAGATATAATAAAAAGAAGAGAGAGAGAAAAGACATAAAACGAATGAGAGAGAGAGAGAGAGAGAGAGAGAGGGAGGGAGAGAGAAAAGGCAGAAAATAGGGTAAGAGAAGAGGGAGGATAACGAAGAGAAAATAGAGAAGGGGAGAGAAATGAGGGGAACCAAGAGAGAGAGAGAGAGAGAGAGAGAGAGAGAGAGAGAGAGAGAAGAGAAAGAGAGATAGAGAGATAAAAAGAGAAAAATTACTGAGAAGAGAGAGTTGTTAGAAAACTCTTTGGTGTACCATCTGCGCTGAAGGACACAAAGACCACCCAAGACAGAGATTCATTATGTCATGGTTGCAATAATCAGCTGGGATAATGTACATGGTTATGAAAATCCTTAGTTTGGTCAGAATGAAAGAGTATCTATTTATATATTTTTTTATTTTTTTTATTTTTTTTTTTGTGATTCAAGAAAAGGAAGAAAAAACTGTTTTAGGAACCAATTCAAAACATACCATAATTGAATGTGAAAAAATGGAAACTTTCGTAGATCATAGCTCTAAACGTTGTCGTTCTACTGCGACAGTATCAAATGAGTTCCTGATCATGGGAACCTTACCTTAATCTTAATGCTACGTAAATTGGCTTAATGACTTACCAGGTCGTTTGTTAACATTTCTGTTGGATTCTCTTGGTGTTTTATCTTTAGCTGACATGACTTGAGTTTTTTCTTGAAGTCTCTCGATTTGAATGATGTTACAAACTCTAAATACAAAATGTTTGTATTTTTCCAAAGAAAGACACGATCAATATTCAACGCCTCTACTATTACAGTAATTTAAAATAACTAACATCTGTTAAACGATACGTCTTTAACTTAAATGGAATTTAAAACTGACTTCTCATTCTAGTACAATACACTTAGTAGACCTCTGTAACAAGATTCGTGCGAATTTTAAAAACGAGGCTGTGCGTTACGTAAGTATTCGGGAATTACACTTGGATTTCCCGAGGACGTGGCAAGGACTATAACATGCAGGGGTTCTCAAACTCTCTGATGCAAGTAGCAACAACAATATATAAAGACATATCACCGTTTTACAACAATGGGACGCTACAAAATCAATTTATTATTTTATATGTAAAAGAAGCACAACTGAACTTCCTAGATTTTTTTTTGTATTTAACACAGCATTATACTTGGTTAAATGATGTGTGATCGAGGGTGTAGAAAAGATAAGAAAAGTGGGGAGGGGGGCGGGGCTGGTGGAGCCTTTTGTCAGAGACGTCACTGGTTTAGATGTTACCCAGGGCGGTAAACTCATGGTGTTACCCTATAACTCCGTCTTTTTTTTAAATCTCCGCGCCCCAAATCCCTTACATTCTTAACCAGATCATAAATAATCTCTTATATTATTTTTTTTTCTAAATTTAGGGGGGAAAAAATATAGCAAACATAGAATTCCCCATTTAAGGTAACAGCGTTATTAAAATATGCATGAATTTGTTTTTTGTTTGTTTTTTTTTTAAACTTAAAACGTTAATCTAAATAGTTTAAAAAGTTAACTTTTAAAGTTAATTTTCTTCACCTTATGACTTTCAAATTTTAAATGACAAGTTTTCAAGTCCAGTAAGACTGTCTTTGGCTTCGCAAACACGGGCCGAAGAACTTTTTAGCGTCTGCAAAAAATATTTAAAACGATGACACTACTTATTTTATGGCCAAAAAAAACAACCCCAGAGCCCTTTGCATTTAATTGTAAACAAAATATAAAGGCAACTGACATAGTGGCCTACTATTTATGTTTTTTTTGTCCCTGAAGTGAACGCAGTTAAATCACGGCTTAGAGCATCAGAAACTTAAGTTATGCGAAGACACTGATGAAAAACAAACAAAACAAAAAAGCACTAGACGTTCTAGCTAAACCCTGCTCTTGTGACATCCTGGTCTTGGGGGACTTGGTTCTTTTGGCACACTGTCTGGCGGAATCCGGCTCTTTGATTTAACACAAATATGCTATTTTCTATGATTCTATTTATTTATTTATTTAGGCATTTTTTTATAGCGCTTACCTTACAGCTCTAAGCGCCTTACAATTATTAAAAATATGTAAACTATTTAAACAGCTTCAGTAAAATGAAAAGGAAAAAACCAGAGACACTAGAATAGTAACTACAATAAAAATGACTATACAAATAGATACACTTTGGCACGTTTTGCCTATACTACAGGATCAACCCGAGACAGAAAATGAGGCAGGGCAAGGAGGGTGCATTACAGGTCTTAGGCGGACCAAAGCAGGTGGTCTACGATCTATTATTCTATTATTGTACTGTTGTCTAAGCTATAAAATTCTATAGCTGTAAAGTTTTCTACGGTCTATTATTCTAATACAGCACTGTGGTCTAACATAAATATCTCTGACAGTTTTTATTTGATTCATAAGTCTGTTAGATGAGTTCACACCGACCACTACTTACAACTCTCATGAGTTCACACCGACCACTACTTACAACTCTAATGAGTTCACACCGACCACTACTTACAACTCTCATGAGTTCACACCGACCACTACTTACAACTCTCATGAGTTCACACCGACCACTACTTACAACTCTCACGAGTTCACACCGACCACTACTTACAACTCTCACGAGTTCACACCGACCACTACTTACAACTCTCACGAGTTCACACCGACCACTACTTACAACTCTCATGATTTCACACCGACCACTATTTACAACTCTCATGAGCTCACACTGACCACTACTTATAACTCTCAAAAGTTCACACCGACCACTACTTACAACTCTCATGAGTTCACACCAACCACTACTTACAAATCTCACGAGTTCACACCGACCACTAAATACAACTCTCACGAGATCACACCAACTACTACTTACAACTCTCACAAGTTCACACTAACCACTTACTAACATCTCTCACGAGCTCACACCGATTACTTCTTACAACTCTCGGACGACGAAAATGAACAGGAAACGAACAGTAGTGAACAACACTCTGATTAAATACTGGCACTGCACCCAGCCAAATACCCTCGAGCTTCCAACATATATAAACCTCTTCATATGTTTATTCACTGTCATCATTGAAACCGATATAATGAAGCCCCAGGCATACTGTTCAAACTCACAACTAACGATCAAATCAATTACTCCAAAACATAAACCAAAACCTCTCTCACGAAACAACTCATAACACTCTCCCTCAACACTCAGCTTGCACCCCCATTTGTTACCCTAGTTACGCCACAAGGATTGCCCCTATTTGTTACTCTAGTTACGCCACAAGGATTGCCCCTATTTGTTACCCTAGTTACGCCACAAGGATTGCCCCTTCCAAAACCTTAAACCTATAAGTCTTAACGTCTGTTCTACGAGATGGCTTTGATTAGTTACGAGATGGCTTTGATGGCTTTGATTAGTCATTTTTTTTTAAATTTCTTTTATTTGAGGGATTGTTTGTGCTTTGAAGTTTCCAACATTCACAAACACCGCGACATTCCTGGATGTATAGGACATTTCATGGGTATTTTAATTAAGCCTATGAAACACATTTTGATAACAAGGTACACAGGTAGTGACCAAATTGTTCATGGGAGGAGAAAAGCTATTTAGTTAAGCATTAAAATTTGTTTGTGAATGTGTGTTTTAGTTTCACATAGTCTTCTTACAGGAATTATGATTGAGGATGAATTTGTGTGTGTGTGTGTGTGTGTGTGTGTGTGCAAAATTTATAAAAAAATATTTCCATTGAAAATGCCCACTCTCCGAACACAAATTCCACAGGTTACGAACACCTTCTCTGGTTAACATTTGTATATTTTTTAATACGTACTTTAAAATTATATTTGTTTATATTCTAACAAAGATTATAATTAAAGCATTCCATAATGGCGTGATTAGGGGATCTTGACACTGATCCCCTGATAAATACATTGCATGCTGAACTAATGTCACTTGTATCAACCAACTCTGGAATATTCAGTGGGGGGCATATGAAATCGGTATACAGTATTTTGTACATCCATCGATGCCAAAAGACGATCACGAAAGCACCACACTTCCCATCATACAGAAGCGTACATGTTTGAATGTTAACCCTTTTTTAAAAATGAAATGGATCTATTCAAAATATATATATTCTTGGATGTTCAAAATTGTTATAAATTTATATAACTTTCTTTTCATTTCAATACTGCCTCTATATTTGTCAGCCAAACTGGCTTAGGATACAATGAATTTAAATCGTCTCACTTCCACCTCGTGTAAAGATGTATGCCTTCCTTTTAGCGATATCATTTATTTAACCTAGGGATTACATACCATTACAGTTTTGAAAACTTAATCGGTCTAAAGAGTTGACTCGTACAGTAAACACGTCTTAACAAAGGATTGAGAAAACAGTATGCAAAAAAAAAACGAAACAAAAACTAGTGATCATAAAAATATTTAATTTGAGTAGACTCTTAAATTTCTATTCAAATTTAAATTGAAAACATAAAGCAAAAAAAAAAAAGAAAAATTATATCCACTTATAGCACAGCGTGAAAAAGGTTTACCTCAAAATTTACACACACACACAATTATATAATGTCTCACGTAAATAAAATTTCTCCCTCTCTCTATTTATCTCTGAAAGCATGTATATATATATATATGGATTAAATCGAAACGTTCTAGTACAAGAAAATGGTTGGTATGGGATAACACAGCAAATTTTAACTCGGTGACGTTAATATCACGGCAGTACTATGGGGAGAAGAGAAGTGGTGGTTTCAAACAGCTCTACACACAGACATGCTATATGCGGCTAAACTAGTGGAGGCTATACTAGCATTGATCCCAATCACGTTATAACAGGCACATCGGTGTTGGGCCAAAACTCTGGTCTCTCTGTGCTGGCCATTTTAACAGCCTCCCACAAACTCGTGGCATCTGCAGCTGACTTCACCTTTTCTACGCCGTTATCAAGGCTACTTTTTGTCAGGAGACTGATTTTAAAATCATCAACAAATACAACATGTGCTGGACCTGGATTCTTCTCAAAGTTAACAACATGTTTGGGTAATTCTGCTTCTCCCTCTTCTGATACCTGCGTCTCATGAGCACCTGTCAATGTTAGCAAAGAAAGAATATTTTTAAGCACGTGTAAAATCGGCTCATTTTCTATTACATGTAGATTTTATTTAGTCTATATGTTAAAATAAGTTCCGAAATGAATTATGACCAAAATATCATGTTGAAATTATTATCTGAAAAGACTTCAATCTAAAGATGTACATTACTATTGCAGTAACTGACACAATGAATGATGTAGGGCATTTTACGTCAAAAAAATGATGTAACGACTGGTATGTACGTCATATCAATGAGAAAGCTAGCAATTAAATTACTTCCACTGAAAAGACTCGATGCATCTTTCTTCTTACAACTGAATTCTTCCTCTTGACGATCGCCTCAACAATGCTCTTAAAATGATGTAAGGATGCATAGCAAATATATATTTAATAGACACTCGGTTGTCTAACTCCGGAATAACAAACCCTGGGTAAGCAAAGAACGACATGACCAGACCCGAAAACTTTTTTTTTAATAAGCTAATAATGGTACTAGTTTGGAACCGAAATAATTCTTGTACGGCTTTAGTTCGACAGCCCTTCCGTTTCTACTCGCAGCTCAATTTCTTTACCATAGTCTCTCTAAAAAAAAGTGCAACCTCTAACTGGGAATCATGGAAAACTTTGTTGTCTGAACCATTTCAAGAATTCATATTAAATAATTCTATAACCCGTCGAGACTTTCGATTTGTAAGTAACCAAAATAAAACAAATACCCTAGTAGACCACTGTTTTTTTAACATATTTATGTTTTTCTATTTTATTTTAAAATTATTTATTTCAATCAACTCATACAGGGACAGTCACTTTTTCTCATCTACCCTAAGGTGTTTTAAAACTGAGCGTGTGACGTAAGAAGTCATTGCACGTGTTACCCATGGGACATGAAGATATTACACGCGCTTAAAATAGATATGTGAGACAACATTTCAACCAAGCGTTTCAAACTGCGAGTTGTAGACTTAATTGCTGGTCATTATGAGGACCAAAAAGAGAATGCATTTTAAAAAAAAATCTAATTAATGTTTTTCAAAAAATGAATGGTGGATCGCTTTCCCGTTCCTACCTGTTAACGTCTCTTAAAGAAAGATATGTTCGTGTCTTATTAATCTATTTTAAAGCTTAATTGCAGTCCAACACGTTTTAAAAATATTAATGGCTACGTCCAACGAAAACTTGCCATCTTTATACCCCCCTTCTACTCAGCATATGCTCCACAATAATTATAGACCTATATGAAAATTAAGCAGGGATTTTTTCAATGAAGTAAGTTTAAGTTGTACACAATAAATCATAGTGATTCAAAGGCATTTTTAAATCCTTTACAGTAGCTTCGCTTTTGTTCGTGCGTTTCTGTCTGGCTGGGTTGCTATATCTTTGGACAGCTAATTGACACACTTTCCGTTAACCTATCGAGCTGAAACTCTGCACATAGACTCATTGCCAATGTCAAAACAATTTATCAAAATTTCAGCCCCACCCCAACCTCAACACACAAAAATGAGTTTTTCCCGTTGTTCAAAGAGAATATGAAGGAAATAGGATGCCATTGATTTCATGAAATATAATTCCCGATAGTTGTGCTAAATGAGATTCTTAACAGAACATCATCCATTTGGTGTGTAATATTTTCTTCTTTTTTTTACGGAAATATTTGTTGAAATAAATCTGCGGTATAAAAGCGGGTGGCAGATTAGAAAGTTAATAAAAATAAAATAATTTTAATAAATCATATAGAAGGTTTATATGAAGAACTTTGTCTTTAATGGTTGTTTAATTATCAATATGAAAATATTTTTTTTTTTCTGACTTTAACAAAACATGACAACGACACCATCATTGGGTTATGTCATGTTAAACTTCAATAGTCTCACTCATCGACGAAAGTGCTCACTCAACTGTTTAAACGTAGTTAATAATTATTGAAACCAACCAATTCCTTTGTTTGATGAAACCCTTTCCTCGCAATTCATTTTCCTGATGATGCTAGAAGAAACAAGCCAAAAAAACTAGAGCCGGTATCAGCTTTTACCATCGATGGTCGCGCAAGAGAGAGTTTGATGATGTCCCCTCTGACAAGTTGAAACACACCACCTGGTTTAGTATAAATATACAACTAGGTGAAAGATGAAGTCTTAGACAATAGTTGTTCAAGTATTCTACCAACCATACTTCCTTGTAATCAATATCATTACAATAGATTTTGGATAAAAGTTAATTAAATAAATTTGACATTTTCATTTTTTTAAAGATTATTATTATTTCTTTTTAAATATGCAATTTATTGAATTATTTTGAATTTTGGCAATCGGTGTAAAAAAAAAACAATATTTAAAAAAAATTAATTTATCATTATTATTATTGTTTTTTGGGGTTTTTTTTTGTACTTAAATAAAGTTGTATTAATATTTATTCAGTTTTCATTAGAAAACATTTGATTCATTTTTCCTCATCATTCTCTGATAAAGAAATTGTGTTTTGAAGTTTTTACTATTTTTAGTCCCATCTCGTGAGGTGGTTACATAACATAATGATATTGTCTTTATTATTTGTTTTAAACTGATTATAAAGTGTATGGTTTTGTCCACGATTAATCTCGAGATATAAAAAGATCGTATGCACAGTTTTCAATTTAAAATAAAGCTTAAATTTTTAATAAACAAGTGCAAAATTTTTATATACCAGAAAATAGAGCCTTCTGATGCTGAGAACAGGAAATACACTTTGTCTGAACAGATCTCAGCAAGACACCACTGTACATAGGGCTATTGGGGCTGCTTCTGGTTACGTAATAGGCCAACGGCTGTAATTATGTTAAAAAATATTTTATAAGTATCTACACGTGTGTAACAATTTTGATAAGACAATTTTTGTTTGTTTTTGAAACTCCTTTATATTAACTTCGCTTTTGACGTGGGTGGCTGGCTGGGTGGTAGGCAAAATCTTCGGACGGCTCATAACCTACTTCTCGTCAAGAAATCAAGCTGTAATTTGACATATAAACGTGTTGCTGATGACAACACATTATATCAATTTTTTTAGCGCCACAACCCCCCCCCCCCCACCCCCCCCCCAAAAAATATAAAAAAATCACCAAATGTCATTTTTTCAAGGTGGAACATGAAGCAAATGTACCAACAACAGCACTAAATGAGATACTTTTAAAAAAAAATAATAAATCGCAAGTGCGTTTGGTGCATAATATGTTGTTCTACTCGTCTGCAACAGTTGTTGAACTAAATATGCGATGTAAAAGCGGGCGGGTCATTCGAATATTAATATATTTCAGGGGCATAAAAATATGTAACGGTTACGAGCCTGGGGGGGGGGTGCACTAATTGCGAATCTTATAAAGTGCTCTACATGAACGTACGGTTTTTAAATTTATTTTCGACCCCCCCCCCCAAATTGCTCGATATTGTATATATAAAGGACTTAGACGAAAAACTGTTTTTAGGAGTTGTTTAATTTAAATTGACGTCATAAATCATTTTTTTCGTATGCATTCAAGCAAGTTAAATTATAAACTAACACTTGTGGATTTATTCATGGATGAACTATAAATAGATTTTACTTTATACAATTAAAACATGAAAAAAATGTTCAGTTCCTTTTGGTAGTTAATGTTAGGTGCATTATATTGTAATATATTGATATATTGTAATGCTTATCAATAAATCACTTACTGCGGTAGACCACTTATTCTCTTCCGGAGAATTTTGAACAGCCAAACTGCTATATACGTTATACAAGCCTGAAGAAAAAAAAATCAGTTTTGAAATACTGGAGCCTTTCAGAAATCCCAATGACAGTTAAATTTTATTTTTAAGGAAAAAAATGTTGAATAACATATTTAACATAATTCATTAATTCATGTCTACATAAAAACATCTCTATAATAAATTGGCTATTTAAAGATTTTTATAGATATTTTGTAATATATTCTAATAGCGGAAGTTAAACTGACTTGACCAAGTACCAGGTATGAGGATCAGACAAGGTACAAGGTAAGATGAACTGACATGGTACCAGTTAAGATGATCTGACCAAGTACCAGGTAAGATGATCTGACAAGGTAAAATGTAAGGTGATCTGACCAAGTACCAGTTAACATGATCTTACAAAGTATCAGATAAGATGATCCGACCAAGTACTAGGTAAGATAATCTGACTAAGTACAGTGAAAAAATATTGTAAACCTTATTTAAAAGACAACATTAATCTGCAAATGACAAAATATAATTGTTTTTGTAACCACTTGTTCATATTATGAATTAGTTGTAGTGAATGCAGCGATTATAAACTTATTCACTACAGGAATAATTGATGCAGTACAGGAAACACAATTCGAAGTCTAGGAACGATAGAAAAAAAAATTCTGAATGGTAACATTCTAAAAACGTGAATTCTTTATGTCAGCTTAAAATTTGATGAATGCATTAAACGTGGTTATAAACAAATACTTCTCAAATAATCAATAATCTCACCTGGATACTGAATAACAAATCCACTTGACCAAACTATTACGCCACGGGCATGCTCCAGATTTGAATCAGTTATTACGGGGGTTAGCTCTAGTTTGAAGTGGTCAGTGATGAAATTCCAAGCTTCATTAGAAGTTATTTTTTTTAATTTTATTTATGGCAATTTGAATTTAAAATTTTCAAATGTCAGTTTTCACCATGCTTTAATAATAAACAATAAATGTTGACATAAAAAATATTTATAGCCAAACAATGAATACCGGATATATTACGTCATGTTTTTTTAGGCAGGGGTGCACTCATACCCTGAGGTTTTGAGAGGCTGTTTCATGGGGTGCGGAAAGACTCATAAAAAATCAAGTTTATATTCATTTTTAATTCATATTGTGTTATCGTTGCTGTCATAAGGGGAAAATATATGTTTTGAAATGGTGTTGGAGTGAAGAGGGACTGCGGTGCTGCAACATGTTAAGAGCCCCTTACCTATTGTTGCAGTATACACATTTTATAAATTTATATAATTAATGTTTTTAGTTCCTACTCCAGAGCTTTCTTTCAGCAATCTGTGGACACTTACTGGAGAAAACTTCCCATTAACGTTCTGTTTGTTTGGAGAATCTAAATTTTAAATTTGAAAAATTGAGCATATATTTAATAATGATTACGGCAATAAACAATAAGCTTAAAATACAAGGTGAAAATAAATCAAAATAGTAATAAATATTCATTTACCATATTAGGGGCCGTCCATTAATTATGTCAAAAAACAGGGGGGGGGAGGAATGTTTGGGAATGGTTGACAGTTGTTGACAGGGGGGGAGGGGTTTAGATTAGTTGACGTCAACAATCATGTTTTCTCAATTTAATTAAAATTGACCGATTATTACATTATTTTAAAAATTAATGAGTGTAAATGGTCATATAATTTTAGGTGTCATGAGCAGTCAAGATAAATGATATTGTTAGAGTAGGAATACGATATTTTGCGAATTAGGCGAAAGTAAAGCGAGTAACAATAATAGCATCGCAGCATGAACGAATTTGCAAAATCTGTTACATCTATTTTGAATCACAAGTCATGTGGAAATAGCATTTTCCACGGCACCAACAATTCATAAGAAATTACCAACTGCTCCTCAAGAAAAATGGACTCGACTAATGCAATTTACTGCCAGGAGACAGCGAGAGCTTATGACTATTATTGCTCACACTGACAATGCTTTTATTTTAAGTGCTGAATGTTTAGATGAGGTTGATGTTAAAATTTCTGATATAGCAGATCTGCAAAATGAAAATAATAAATCAGCCACTATGCCAATTGTTACCTGGCTTCTCTATGGGAAGATGAGCTATACTTACAATAATCACATCGATACCTCCACAAACAATGACATTTAGTCTTTAACAACCTTTCATAGATTCTGCATTATAAAATTTTAGTGTAAAAACTTTTTAACTTGTTGGTTAACAAGCTATAACTTGTTGGTTAAAAAGCTAAAGATGTAATAAAATGTTTTTCCTCCAATGTTGTGTCATTAAAATAGATCAGTACAATGACAAAGGTATGGATATATTTATTTTTATTATCAATCATTTATTTTAATTAATTTATTATTTCATTAATTTTTTATTGGGGGGGGGGGATATGAAAAAGATGATATAGTTACTTGATCGGGGGGGGGGGCATTGAAGTTTAACAGTTGTTGACAAAGAGGGGGGGTCAAAAATGTTTTAATGGATATGAAAAAGATGATATAGTTACTTGATCGGGGGGGGGGGTCATTGAAGTTTAACAGTTGTTGACAAAGAGGAGGGGTCAAAAATGTTTTAACAATTCTTGATGTAATTATTGGACTTGTCATTTTCGCAGTATGGCTATTAATAAAACGCCCCTTAAGAAAATCAATACACAGTGAGATTTCCTCGATATATTTAGGGCCCACGATCAATTTATTGATCGTTTTGGATCACTTAATTTAATATCTTTTAAAGGTTTACATTAAAGCTTGCATTTTTACGGTATACTTGAATTGCAGTTACAATAATTGACACATTTTAAATATTTATTAAATTATAAAAAAAACTAATAAATTAAAACAAATAAACAACAAAGAATGAATCAAACAGAACACACAAACACACAGATAAATAGATGTATTATTCTCTTTTTTTCTTCTTTTTGTTAATTTTTTATGTAAGCGCCCTGAGCCTAACCCTAGGCTGGGGTACCGCGCTATATAATAAGTGCACATGTAAAGGCAAATATTGCAAAGTTTAGAGAAATATATATACAACTTTATCCCAGACATATTTTATAGATGTAAGATTTTCTCAATATTTTATTCATAAATATATACCTGTGTTTATCAAAGACGTTAATATACTGCATGCGTTAGAGTCAAAATACCTTTTCTAAATTAACCAAAAAACATCCCCTTTCATAAATTAAATCCAATACTAATTTTTTACACAAATATAATCAATAAAATATTGGAAACATTCCAGTACCTATAGGTATCGTCTAAACACTCCCAATTCATTAAAATCAAAGGGTAGATATGCCAAAAATCAATTATTATTATTATCAGTGGTTTCATAAAGTGTGGTACCCCCGCCAAGGGCTGGGCTCGACCACGCTGTACATATAATTTAACAAACATAATTTAAAAAATTAAAAATTAATTGACATACATTAAATAAATATAACAAAACAAATGAACATTTAAAACTATTAACATGTCAAGGCATGGACGACACCAAGTAGCATCGTTTTTCGGTCAGAGGTGGGAATCAGTCAGGATAGTAGCGTTTAAAAAGATGTGTTTTGAGTGCAATTTTAAAGGTTGTGATGGTCGGTATATTGGGATGTGTAATGGAAGAGAATTCCATTTTTCAGGGACACAGAAAGAGAACGATCGTTCACCGTGTGTTTTTGTGCGAGTCTTGGGGACAGAAAGAATACGCGCGTCTGCGGAGGGCGAAGCTGTCGAAGGGGTGAATAGACAGTGAGAAGTTCGGTTAGATAGGAAGGGGAGGAATTCGAGAAGAATTTGTGGCAGAGAACAGAGAGTTTTTAGTCAATCCGTCCTTGTACATGGAGCCAATAAATTGAATGAAGTAGTGGTGTGACTTGATCACGTAATTTTCGCTTTAGAACTAGCCTAACAGCTGAGTTTTGAAACCCATGTAATTTTTCTAAGAAGTGTTTTGGTGAACCTGATAAAAGAGAGTTAAAATAGTTAAAATGAGAGAGAACAAGAGCATAGACTAGGGTTTTTGTTGCACTAAATGTGATGGATTGGCGGATGAAGCTGATCTGACGAATAGCGGTTTATGCAGAGCAACAAATGTGAGAAATATGATTATCGAGAGGCATGTTGTTAGACAGAATATAACCAAGATTCCCAACGGAGAAAGTAAACTGTATATCGGAATTATCTACATGAAATGAAGTGGGGAGGGGTGAGTTAGAGGATGATTTGTAATAAGGCTACACAAGAGCGAAATAAAAAATAATGACATCTTTTAGTGTCTGACATAATTTCCTTAATAGGGTGGTCCATCGAGAAAACCTTAGCATTTTGGTCATCAAGTTTTGTTGTTTTGGGATAAGATAGCGTGGGTTTCAGGATTTCTTGATGTTAAATCGTTGATTTAAGGATCAGATAAAACATTCAACCTCCTCAACTCGAGAGAGTTTTACAGGTTTACATTTGTAATGAGCCATTCACGTGGTATGAAAACTCAAAATGACAGAGAGGAAAGTGACAAAACATTCTGAAATCTTGACATGGCATTTTTTTTTAATAAATCGTTGATGTTTTAATTTTTTTTGGCTTTAAATTTTGAGATAATTTAAGTCATGAAATTATAAAAGTTAGCTCCTTTAGCATCATGATTTTTGTCTTTAAAAAAAAAGAAAAAGAATTGTATTTGCCTTCAATTTCTTTAAGGCATCTATTTTTTAAATCAATAACCTCAGATTGTTAAGTTTTTTTTAATTTAAGACATGCTTAGCACTTGTACACACTTCTAAACTAACTTTGTATTCTCTAATACTAAAATGTAAGTTCTAAGCGATAACCAAGACTAGACACCATTGTATGATTTTAGATGGAGAGACACATTGTAAATACCATTGTTTACACAAAATGTAGATTTTTTATTTAGACTTAACACGCAGGGAGAGTTATAATGTGATTGACTTACATTAAAATTTAGATTAATTACCCTGGGGAAATTATGAAGTATCTTGTTGAAATATTGGAAATTTTCATAATAATTTTTGACACATGTGGGGATTATAAAATTAAGAGTTGTCATATTTATTTTATAAATTCATTTATGTATCGTTTTCTCAATTTTTTTTCTCCTTATTTTTTTTATTATCCAATTCGTTTTTTTTCTTTATAAAATAATATTATTTTAATGTAAAAGTCTAATTATTTTTTTTATTATACCTAATACTTACATTTTTTCCCTCTAATTAGACATGAAATTTGAGCTTTGATTGACATAGTGGCTCAAAATGAGCACTCGATTTATTATAACACTTGACTAAGTTGACAATTGTCTAATAAGTTTACTGTCAAGTCTCTAGACTGCTGTCTCATTGCCAGTAGTTATAGGCGCTTGTTGATGGCGTCAATGTCAAGTTGTCACGTCGGGATTTCCTCAATTGATTTCTTCGAATGGTATGGGGAAATTCCACATTTTTGTTAAACAGAGTAGCGTGCCCGAACTTGCTCATTAATTTTACCAATTTGGGTTTGTTGCAAAATCATGTTTTTTTTTCTAAACTCGATTCCAGTAAATTAAGTTGGGTTAATTAAAACAGACCCAATAATGTCGTTTTTTAAAAAATAAAATGTATACTTAAACGGAGACCCTAGTTCTAAAAGTACTTAAGTCACATTTTTGTAAAAATCAATCTAAACTGTGACCTTTTCTTATCAAGCATAGCCAAGTTCACTGCATAAATTTGAACACTGTAAAATTTACCTAAGTACTTTAAATAAACAAAACAAAAAAATGAAAATGATCAAATTTTATAGACGAAAATAATATTTGAACGTTATTATCTCAAAATGAGCATTTTGTGACTTAAGTACTTTTAGCACTAAGGACTTCAAACTCTGAATAATTTCTTTCCTCTTAATTCAAGGTGACGTCATCCAATCCATGTTTACTTAGCCAAACAATGACAACCACAGATGATTTGAAAGTGGAAATGATATGCATAAACCCATTTTGCTCTTTTCTTTCAGAAAATAAATATATATATATATATATATATATATATATATTTTTTTTTTACATTCATGTCGCACCCCGTAGGATTGTTTATAGGAATACGCGTATTGTTGTCTTAATGTGTGTGTCAGTGTGTTCTTGTGTGTACAGTAATGGCTGAATCATTACTTGCCGCGAGCGTAAGCGACCTCTGGTGCGAAGTGAAACGTAAGGAACAGAGCCGAGAAACACAAATACGGACGAAACACTGCCCGTCACCAAACAACGCAAACCGTCAGGAATGACGCAGGGACCCCAACTGCCACCTCTGTGGCCTGGCAGCCGAAACACTGCCCGACACCAAGCAACGCAAACTGTCCTGAATCAAGAAGGAGCCCGAACTGCCGTCTCTGTGGCCTGGCAGCCGAAACACTGAAGCACCGGACACTGAGACGGAGATGGATGTTTGAAAAGGGAAACCTGTCTTAATAAATTCATGTATGCCCATGCCTGCTTTATGAGGCGAGCGGTTGACAAAATAGCCAGGGTCATGTCCCGTAACCGTCACCTCTGTAATGAACATGAAAAATGGCGGGATGGTAGTGTGTCGTAATTGACAATAGGGGTTTCCTACCTTACTTAACCTAGCTGTGTCGAATAAAACAATCAAGAGGTTTTGCCCTACTTGCCACTGCTTTGTAATATATGAAAACAGACTGTTGGTATTTTACTCACCACTATTGTCTTAAACATTACAATCGATCTGCGGTAGGCCTACTTTAATACTTGCCACTGTTGTGTCATACACTGATCGCCACATTCGATCTGGTACCGACGGGTTGTCACTAATTCGCCAATGCTGTGTCGAACTACACAACCGATGGGTTAAACGTTACTCAATTCCGGCTGTATGGAATATGACTATTGACTTGTGGTGCAATAAACATAACTGTAGCATCAATTATGAAAAACAACACGTGGTCTGGCTACTATTAGGTTATCTCTCCGAGATGGAAAGCCCATTAAAAACAGCACAAGGCCCCGAGGCGAGGGAAGCCAAGCGACGCGGGAGCTCAGTAAATGTCAACTCCTATACGTCTTCTTGGATTGATTACATTCGTCAGTTCTTTCATACATTGAAGCGTCGTACTATTCTCACTATCAATTAACAAACTCAACTCCTTTTCATAATAACTATAACTTTAATATCTAAGTAAATATAATAAACATCCTATCACTCCAAAGTTCCACTCAAGACTGCCGCACGACTACAACATACGTCACAACACTGCATAGACAATACGTCACGACTCAGCATAAAAATACGTCATAAATACAATGGCGGGAAGAGCGTTCACTAACTATAATAGTCAAGCGCGGGAAAAGCGTTCAACAACTAATGAACATAATATTGAGTCGCAACAATTCCTAATGAACGCTCATACTCGACATATCCCCCCTCTTTCATTTCAGATTTTACTCAGGGAGTGAAATCGTCACCAGACATACAAAATTTACATCAATTACATCAAGAAGAACCCTTCAGCCATATGAATGGTCCTTATCAAAAAACACTATTTAGGTATCACTGAAAATCAAACAGATTTATGATATACTGCAATAAAATAAACAATCCTTCCTGCATAATTTTAAATGCAATTCAAGAGTTAAAAATTCATGTACCACAATAAAAATCAGACCATTAAAATTGAATGTCAACATTAATTTTCATTTTTCATACCAATAAAAATAATTATATTTGTATCGCAAGAATCCGGGCAAATACAGTAACATCCTTACTGAAGTTGAAACTATAACTAAGTTAATCCAAATCATACCATCAAAAAGGTGTATTTTTAAATAAAACCAATGGTCATCACTATAGAAACACAAAACTATCTAACATCATTACAGGTGAGAGATGTCTCACCACAATTTAAGCAGCCTTTATTTGCTCTTAAATAACACAGTTACAGATGGCGGGACATATCTTTTGTCCGTGGATTTCACAACTTTATGCTTCAACATGTTTATTATAATTAAAATTATCTCTCCCTGTTCTTTTGACCCGTGGTCATAACTCATGTGAAATCTCAGTTTTACAATACATATTTTTAAATTGTTACAAAATGAAAAACGAGTCTCATAAAAAAGAAACTCAAACAAATCAGGAACTTCAAAGCAATCATGGCAATAGTTACTTTTAACTGATTCATTTTTTTAACAATACAAACAAAAGCCTCACCTCCCAACTCATGGACCTGACAACTCACCTCCTCTTGAAAATCATAAACAAGTGCACCTTTAGAGCTGGCAGCGCTCTCTTTAACACTTTCAACATTGGTTTCCAACTTAATGTTAGAGCACTC